ACTGAAGAGAATCCGGGCCTTCACACAACAGAATCACACAGCCCCAGCAGCCACCCACGACAGAGCATAGCAAGCAAACACACATCTACTCCACCGATCACGCACGCGCACACACGGCACCTAAGCCTGCAACTGCACACTGTGCGCGGGACACGACGCCACTCAAAGCAACACACCCGCACGCATCGCCCTGTACCCGCAAGGAAAGGGAGAATGACCCACAACGCACATTCTCCCCCTTTGTCTCTCTCTTTCCTTAATCCCCAATGAAAACAGGAGCCACACGTGTCAGTGCCGGCACCAACTACAAAAGCATCCTCCACGCGCTCTGCAGTACATCATTTACATCTGTCGTGTATGTGTGTGTGCCTGCAGATAAAAAAAGATTCAAGCATGACATAAGCCCCCACGAACAAAAACACACGCAGTGGAGGTGGGGAACGGAAAGGCAGCGGAACAGAGACAATTGGGGCTCGAGATGGCACTGCAGCCAAAGCGGCGGTCAGCCACTGAAAAAAAGATGAAAAAACAAGAAAGCGTCCTCCATTATGCATAACACCGCCACAAAACCCAAAAAACAATTCTCGTCCTCCATGATGTTTTCTCCGCAAAATAAAAAATAGCAGCAGGCTGGCGTGCAGCAGCGTGCGGCTGCAATAAAAAAAAAACCTCTGTACGTGTATATTTTTTTTGCCCACAAAAAGAAGAAAATTCTTTTTTGTTTCTCCTCATTCATTGTGGTCCACCGCATGCCCACCCATGCCAGTTGCATTTAATGGGGGCCTTCTGCGCAGCGGTGCTGCTCCGCCTCGTGGACGCCTCATCACTGCAGCACGGCAGCCCTCTTCGGGGTGTGTGGAGAAGGAGCCCGCCTCACAAACGGGAGGGTGTGCGCACAGCAAAAAAGCAGAAAAAAAGAAGGAAAACGGGGCTCCCAAAACAAAGAAAATCACGAGCAAAAAGAAGTTGGCGCGGTTTCCAGCGCGGGTCCACCTCCTTCCCTGTTGTTCCCTTCCACTCAGAAGAGAAATAGGCAGCCACACACCCATGCACGGAGCTGTCGCGCGTGACCTGCGGAGGGGCCGTGGTTGACGGCGCTTCTGTCGTCACTGGAGGGGCGGGCTTCTCCTCCACGAGCGCCTTCAGCTCTGTGGTGTTCAACAGCCGGCTGTACAGCAAAACGTTCGTCAACATCACTTCGTTCCCTGCGCCTCCCGCACCGGCTTCGCCGCCCCCCAAAAAGGACGTGCACCAACTCATCCTGCGGCGGCAGCAGCATTTCTTCGGCCCGCGCCCCAT